CGTAATTACGAGATCAAAAAACTTCTTATCTCGTAATTATGCGATAGTTTTCTCGTAATTACGCGATGATTATCTCGTAATTACGAGATAGTTTTCTCGTAATTACGCGATAATTATCTCGTAATTACGAGTTAAAAAATAATTATCTCGTAATTACGAGTAAAAAAATGATTATCTCGTAATTACGCGATAGTTTTCTCGTAATTACGCGATAATTATCTCGTAATTATCTCGTAATAAGATAATTTGTTTGGTTTTTTTTTTCCTTATTTAGGGAGACGTCTGTATTGATAGGGGTTTTGTCTTTCTGTATTCTGCTTATTGTTTTTGCCTTCCTCTTTGGTATATTCTCCCCTGTCTTTTTGTCTAGCGATATTCTAATGAATCACCAATACTAGAGTCAAAACATTTATTCCAGATAATTATGAAATGATTATGGAAAAGAACTATGGATTCCTGATGACAAAACTTAACATTTCAAACACTGAAAGAGGTAAGTATGTTTAACAAAGTTTTTCATAAAATTAGTTTAGCGTTTATAAAGTAGTCCGACAATTCAATATTATTAATTAGAATGTAACTATTGGTGGTCACATCTGAATTGGTCATATGTATAACATACGTATCATTACTGTTATTTAATATGAAGCTGGAAATGCATTTTTCAGTCGTTAGATATAACAGAAGTGTTTAAAGATGTTATCTCCTCTTGTTGTTGAATTTTTGCCAGATATTCGGAATCCTCTGGTTTTATCCATGTAGTGCCTTTAGAAAATTTTGCCCGCTAACCTTTACTTTTCTTTTCATAATTTCATTACATATAGTTTAAAATGCCATATTTGAAAATCTAATAAAATCTTTGTTTTTTTTTCATAGTTTTTGAAAGAAAAAAGGTACGAACGTTAGATGAGAGAGAATCATTTCAATCCAATTATTAAATGGTTTATATCTCGAAAACAAGCACACGAACCCTTCATTTTTTCTGCTTTTTTAATTCCTTTGTTTATATACTATAAATTCATCAAAGTCTTCTAAAAAGCTTGTTATTTTAAAACGGAGTAGCAAACACCCTTAAATCATATGCAGGAGTTTGAAAAAAAAACAGTGGCTCTTGACAATCATATACCACGTCTCAATTTTTACATATTAATATTTATTTGAACTTGGGCCGTCTATATATGAAGACGCCTCCCTTGTCCTACAACCCGGTGCTTATGTGCCTTTTATTTGATTTTAATCAGCGTCATCTAAAACATGATATTGCGATATGGTAAATCTAAAATTGTTTCTTTTGTCTTATATTTTTACATTTCATGTTTTTGATTCTTTTCCACTATTTCATGTACTTAGAGGTAAAAGATAACTTTGTTTTTATTTGAGATGAATTTGAACGGAAAGTATTTTTTCTCCTTAAAACCAGATACACCACTTTGGTATTCATTACAAACGGCTGTAAATAAATTCATCGTAGATACCAGGGGCCGGTTTCACGAAGCTATCCTAAGACCTGTCATAAGATATTGTAATGCCGTCCACACCTCTTTTTGAATATGCTCTGTTATTAAGTACAAATAATAATACGGAGATGTCTGTGAGATGATATGCTATGCAAATGAGTCTATTTAATATGCTGATTGTACTAATATTGATCATCAAGATTTAATTCTATTGTGTTTCAAATGATGTTATGATTGGAATTTACTCGCGGTGACAAATTTGCAAGTTTGATCCCGGAGTGCCGGTACCTTTATTTCTGTTGTTTTATTTGAGATATTAACCTGTTTCACTTGTTCCTAAGTTATCCTGTATGTGTAATAACTTTCACGATGAATAAATATGTTGGTTCTTATTGATATTAAGCTGGAAAACATCTTTATTTACATAAAACTTCCAATGTTTACATTTTGATTTGCCATTTCGGGAATTTCCCTAAACAGAGAGATGGCTGCTGATTGGCCCAAGACATGTAAAAGCGTCCGTGATTGGCTGACAGTCAAATAAAACTGAAATGATCAACTACGGAGAGCAGTGATTGTTTGTGGTTTGAAAATGAAAGTTATGAAGCGCCAAACTTGAAATAATCGGCGACTTTCTAGTTGCAAACTGTTGGGTGATTTTTTTTCTATGTGTAAATAGTCGGTGACTTCGCTAGGTGCAAATGGTTGGGTGACTTTGCTAGGTGCAAATGGTCGGTGAATTTTCTAGGTGTAAGTAGTCGGTGACTTATTTGGGTGTAAATACTTGGTGACAATTTAGGGTGTAAATTGTACCAATATTTCAAGTAGTTATTTAAAATAGATGTTGTTGATTTAAGGCTACATACTTTTAAAAGTGTTCTTTTATTGAAGCACCTTTGTAAGCCTGTTCTAGCTATACGCTACCTCTGTAGTTTTGAACTGAATTAGTTGTAGTTAACAGAGTGGTGACTCTGGATTGTTGTATATATGATTAATATATATATATAGATTAAATAAGATAGACCAAGCATAACCTGTTTATAAATGAGTACGGCAATTAAACATAATTACAAAAAATGTAACAATTGTTGGTCCCGTATTCATTGGTTTACATCTAATATTTCCGTATTTTTATTGTAAAATTAATATGAAACAGAAAATACATTTTTCAGTCATTAGATGCGAAATTATAGAAGTGTCTGTTGTTGAAAACTGCGTCTTGCCGAAATGATGTCTTTTGTTTTAATTTATTTTTTCGTGGTGGTCTGTTTTAAAGGGGGTGCTGTCTATCTGATTCGGCTTATGATTTTTGATTGTCCTCATTATACTTGTAGTGATATCCTCTCCTTATTGTCTAGGCATATTCGAATAACCAATTTAAAAATCAAACTTTCATTTTTAATTAGCTAAACTTGAAGTGGTAATGGAAAACAAATATGCAATCCTGATAGAAAAACTAAACATTTCGAACACTGAAAGAGGTAAGTATGCTTTATAACGTTTTTCATAAAATTGGATAAAGCGTTTATAAAATAGTCCGACAATTCAACATAATTAATCCAAATGTTACTTATGAAGGCCTCGTGTTAAATGGTCTACATCTAATATTTCCGTATAGTTACTGTAAATCAATATTAAACCGGAAATTAATTTTTCAGCCAATTAGATAAGACATTACAAAAGTAGTTAAATCATATGCAGGAGTTTGAAAAAATAAACAGTTTACGTTGACAATCATATACAAACGAAAGCCTATTAGGGTCACAAAAAAAAATATTTATCGCGTAATAACGAGATAAATATCTCGTAATTACGAGAAAACTATCGCGTAATTACGAGATAATTATCGCATTATTACGAGAAAACTGTCGCGTAATTACGAGATAATCCCTTTTTATCTCGTAATTACGAGATAACCATTTTTTATCTCGTAATTACGAGATATTTATCGCGTAATTACTAGAAAACTATCGCGTAATAACGAGATATCATCGCGTAATTACGAGATAACTATCGCGTAATTACGAGAAAACTATCGCGTAATTACAAGAAAATCATTTTTTTATATCGTAATAACGAGATAATCATCGCGTAATTACGAGAAAACTATCGCGTAATTTCGAGCTAATCAAATTATTTATCTCGTAATTACGAGATAATCATCGCGTAATTACGAGAAAACTATAGCGTAATTACGAGATAATAATTTTTTTATCTCGTAATTACGAGATAATCATTTTTATACGCCCGTTTACAGGACGTATTATGGTATACCGTTGTCCGTCTGTCCGTCTGTCCGTCCGTCGTCAACATGTCTGACATTAACTCAAAAACGCTTTAACTAATTTGCATAAAAATTTGGTGAATTGTTTATGTCTATTGACGTGAGCTTCCTTTCGTTTTTTTATAAATTTTAGATTTTACGTTTCCGAGTTATGGGGTTTTATTCATAAAAGAGGGGGATTTTCCAGTTTTCGGACAAAAATAAAAAATGCTTTCAGCAGTTCTTATAAAACTTTGGTGAATTGTTTATATCTATTGATAAAAGCTCTGTTTGGATTTTATAAATTTTTCATTGATCATTTCTGAGTTATTGGGTTTTATTCATTAAAAAGGGGTCATTTTCCAGTTTTCGGACAATACCTCAAAAATGCTGTCAGCAATTCTCATGAAACTTTGGTGAATAGTTTATACCTATTGATGTAAGCTCCCTTTACATTTTTATAAATTTCTAATATGACATTGAGAATTAACTGAACTTTATTTGTTTATAGTCTGACAACAGATTTACTAAGTATTGCGCAACAGCACAGTGTATTGCACAACAGCAAGAAATCTTTAATTGAATATAAATTCAATTCATATAACCAATTTCATGTTCTTTGACTACATTTATTCAGAAACCTATAATATGTCAAACATTTAATTACAATCCAAAATTCAGACCTGTATCAAGCTTGAATATTGTGTCCATTTTTGCTCCAACTGTTCAGGGTTGGACCTCTGCGGGCGTATCCAGCTGCGCTCAGCGAAGCAGTTTATTTTATTTCGTAATTACGCGATAGTTTTCTCGTAATTACGCGATAATTATCTTGTAATAACGCGATAATTATCTCGTAATTACGAGATCAAAAAACTTCTTATCTCGTAATTATGCGATAGTTTTCTCGTAATTACGCGATGATTATCTCGTAATTACGAGATAGTTTTCTCGTAATTACGCGATAATTATTTCGTAATTACGAGTTAAAAAATAATTATCTCGTAATTACGAGTAAAAAAATGATTATCTCGTAATTACGCGATAGTTTTCTCGTAATTACGCGATAATTATCTCGTAATTATCTCGTAATAAGATAATCTGTTTGGTTTTTTTTTCCTTATTTAGGGAGACGTCTGTATTGATAGGGGTTTTGTCTTTCTGTATTCTGCTTATTGTTTTTGCCCTCCTCTTTGGTATATTCTCCCCTGTCTTTTTGTCTAGCGATATTCTAATGAATCACCAATTCTAGAATCAAAACATTTATTCCAGATAATTATGAAATGATTATGGAAAAGAACTATGGATTCCTGATGACAAAACTTAATATTTCAAACACTGAAAGAGGTAAGTATGTTTAACAAAGTTTTTCATAAAATTAGTTAAGCGTTTATAAAGTAGTCCGACAATTCAATATTATTAATTAAAATGTAACTATTGGTGGTCACATGTGAATTGGTCATATGTATAACATACGTATCATTACTGTTATTTAATATGAAGCTGGAAATGCATTTTTCAGTCGTTAGATATAACAGAAGTGTTTAAAGATGTTATCTCCTCTTGTTGTTGAATTTTTGCCAGATATTCAGAATCCAATTATTAAATGGTTTATATCTCGAAAACAAGCACACGAACCCTTCATTTTTTCTGCTTTTTTAATTCCTTTGTTTATATACTATAAATTCATCAAAGTCTTCTAAAAAGCTTGTTATTTTAAAACGGAGTAGCAAACACCCTTAAATCATATGCAGGAGTTTGAAAAAAAAAACAGTGGCTCTTTACAATCATATACCACGTCTCAATTTTTACATATTAATATTTATTTGAACTTGGGCCGTCTATATATAAAGACGCCTCCCTTGTCCTACAACCCGGTGCTTATGTGCCTCTTATTTGATTTTAATCAGCGTCATCTAAAACATGATATTGCGATATGGTAAATCTAAAATTGTTTCTTTTGTCTTATATTTTTACATTTCATGTTTTTGATTCTTTTCCACTATTTCATGTACTTAGAGGTAAAAGATAACTTTGTTTTTATTTGAGATGAATTTGAACGGAAAGTATTTTTTCTCCTTAAAACCAGATACACCACTTTGGTATTCATTACAAACGGTTGTAAATAAATTCATCGTAGATACCAGGGGCCGGTTTCACGAAGCTATCCTAAGACCTGTCATAAGATATTGTAATGCCGTCCACCCCTCTTTTTGAATATGCTCTGTTATTAGGTACAAATAATAATACGGAGATGTCTGTGAGATGATATGCTATGCAAATGAGTCTATTTAATATGCTGATTGTACTAATATTGATCATCAAGATTTCATTCTATTGTGTTTCAAATGATGTTATGATTGGAATTTACTCGCGGTGACAAATTTGCAAGTTTGATCCCGGAGTGCCGGTACCTTTATTTCTGTTGTTTTATTTGAGATATTAACCTGTTTCACTTGTTCCTAAGTTATCCTGTATGTGTAATAACTTTCACGATGAATAAATATGTTGGTTCTTATTGATATTAAGCTGGAAAACATCTTTATTTACATAAAACTTCCAATGTTTACATTTTGATTTGCCATTTCGGGAATTTCCCTAAACAGAGAGATGGCTGCTGATTGGCCCAAGACATGTAAAAGCGTCCGTGATTGACTGACAGTCAAATAAAACTGAAATGATCAACTACGGAGAGCAGTGATTGTTTGTGGTTTGAAAATGAAAGTTATGAAGCGCCAAACTTGAAATAATCGGCGACTTTCTAGTTGCAAACTGTTGGGTGATTTTTTTTATGTGTAAATAGTCGGTGACTTCGCTAGGTGCAAATGGTTGGGTGACTTTGCTAGGTGCAAATGGTCGGTGAATTTTCTAGGTGTAAATAGTCGGTGACTTATTTGGGTGTAAATACTTGGTGACAATTTAGGGTGTAAATTGTACCAATATTTCAAGTAGTTATTTAAAATAGATGTTGTTGATTTAAGGCTACATACTTTTACAAGTGTTCTTTTATTGAAGCACCTATGGAAGCCTGTTCTAGCTATACGCTACCTCTGTAGTTTTGAACTGAATTAGTTGTAGTTAACAGAGTGGTGACTCTGGATTGTTGTATATATATGATTAATATATATATATAGATTAAATAAGATAGACCAAGCATAACCTGGGACCCAACCAGACCAATGACAGAGCCTGTCCAGCCAGATTATCCGCGTTTATAATTGTCAAATAAATAATCAAAACTGTTATATATGCTATTTCTTTTATTTCTCAATCATATATACAATAAATAGACATGTAGAACAAAGGTTAAACGAAGCTGTAAAGTGGGTTGGTTCGACGGTATTCCAATTAGACGTCGGCCCTACATTTTACAGTAATAAATCATACCAGTTAAGAAATCCCTTTTCTATGTAACCTGTGATCTCTGGTGGCCGACTCTATTACCAGGGAGGCAGCGTAATATTTGGTGGCAGCGGTGGGATTCATTAATAGAGTCTGTTAGAGTTTGTACACTAAAACAAATTAACTATAAAACCAAGAATAATAATAAAAATGGTTGATTCAAACGTTGTTACGTTTGGCCCACATCTCAATGAGATTGGCGATGAAGCAGATGCAATTATGCATGAAAGTTTATTAGAGAAACAAAGTTCTGAAATTTTTAGCACAACGGAGAGAATGCTGGCAGAGGCACGTGCAGGAATGAAACTTCGGATGGACCAATGTTTTTCCGATTTTTCAAAGGATATGAATCAGATGTTTGTCAAATTTGAAGGGCAAGCTATGGAAAGTAGGTCCACCCCAATTTTAGGTCGGGGAATCGAAACTCCAGCAAATAGTCTGGAACATATAATCAGGCATGACAGAACTGATAAAAATAACAGTCATATTCCAGATATCCGACGGTCAAAACCTGAAATCTCTTGCAAAATAAAACCACAAATATATGACGGCTCGGATGATTTGGAGGAGTATTTGACCCAATTTAATTTATTGGCAGAACTAAATGATTGGGACCTCAAGACTAAGGCCTTACTTTTGGCTAGTAGTTTATCTGGAAGTGCTCAGGCTATATTAAATGAAATCACAGATAGGGAACGGCACGATTTTGAGTGTTTGGTAAATGCTATGAAAAGTCGATTCGGTTCTATAAATAGATCAGAAGTTTTTAGGGCTGAGTTGCAAACAAGGGTTAGATTGAAAAATGAAACACTGCCAGAATTTGCACAAGCTATAAAGAAACTTACACGTAGGGCTTACCCGGATACTACTGCTCTAGTTATGGACAACTTGTCTCTGGATTATTTTATCGATGCAATTCCCGAGACTGATATACGCCTCCGACTGAGAGAGGTTGGACCAACTTCAATTAATGAAGCAGAGAATATTGCTGTTAGACTTGAAGCCTTACGTATAGCTGATAGACAGATCGTTTGTACGGTCGAGACTGAAACCGTTTAGACCATTGTCTAAAACAAAGAAAAATCATAAAGTTAATCAATGTATTAAATTTTGGACAAATGTCATGAGCGAGAATGAATTCTCAATACTATAGTAAATGTTTTGGCTTCTAAAAAAATATATATCTGCGGTAGACACTACAGAATTAATAGATAAAAGCAAATTTAGAAATAAAGTTAGATACTCGTCTCATGTATTTGAAACATGAAATGTTATTGGCGGAAATAAAAGATGCCGCCATTTCTTTTAACAGATTTTATGTATAAATATTATGTTGATATCCTTTCACTAAGGATGTTTTACCAGTTAAAGGTGAGGTTATGCCTTGTTTTAAATTAGAGGTGATGCTTCATGTAAAATTCCCGATGCGGAAATTGTAGTAATTACAGAGATAAATTATTACTAACGCACGGTCTATGGTCGCGCTAAATATCATTCTGTTGTGATTTGTTTTAAACTAATGAAAAATTTTTGGTGAATATACTGAACTGTATTGGTCGTTTCTATTTTAAGAATTTTATGAAAACCCAGAATGTCAGTTGACAGTTTGGTTAAACACTCTGGTTATGTGGTGCTGAACAATTGTTCAACACGCTGATATGATGATGTTAAATGATTACAGTCTTAGTGAGAGGCCCTATTAAGAGAATTATTCTTTATGCTCGTAATAGAGAAAATTTAAAATAAAAGTTAAGAGTATATGTTGCTGGAAAGACTGTCTAAGTTTAATACCGAAATGTAGATGTTTTGGCCTGGCCAGTCAAAATATGTGACTTGAAGGTATCATGCTTGAGAGTTGATCAGAAAAGATAGAGTAGCTATTGATCAGTAAATAACGAGATGTACACAACGAGGCACTTTCCGAAAAAGGCTGCGTTTATATGAAAAATTTCCTAGATCGGATAGTTACTGAAGGTGGAGATTGATTGCTCAACAGAGATAGACACAGGTGTGACCTAATCACTGGTCAGTGTCTATGGAGCAAAGCTTGATAAGAACGGGTCTGCTGGAGAAACTTTTAACAATGTTTGCAAGCCCGGTTAGGAGTATAAAGAGGGTGATCAGTCTAGGCAATGTCAAATAATGTTGTTAAAATTCAAAGAATAATTTGCAAAGAATAATATATAGATAGAGAAAGAGAAATTTGGTGAATATTTATGGTGTAAAATTTAGTAAAAGCGGATTTGCTGAAGAAATATTTCACAATATTTACAAATCAGGGAATGAATTTAAAGAGAGAAATAAGTACATGTAATACCATATAGGGCTAAAAAAAAAAATAATAATCATTAACAGATAGGAACGACATGTTTGCTCAAAAGAGATAGACACACGAGTGACCTTATCACTGGTCAGTGTTTATGAAGCAAATAATGATAAAACAGGTTTGTTGGGGAAGCATTTCATTATGCTTACAAGCCAAAATATGAGAATAAAGGAAAAGAACATAAAATCAAAGTGAAACGAAGTAACCAAATATAGTCCAATAGTAAAATAGATGTATTAATTTATTTTCTTTGCAGAAAATGGGAAAACGGAATATCAGTAGATAGCAATAATATTAAAATGAATAAAACCAAAGATTGATTCGTAAGCTGTTACATAATAGCGGGACACGGTGGTTAGGATAGAGTTTTGAATTTATAAAATGTAGATAGAAACATATGTGTGGCATGGGTAATAAATCAAGAAATAAGTATATTTAAATGGTGTTGTATTGTTTTATATAAGTTGTTTATCTGATATAGTTAAATATCAGGCCAAAATGAAATAGGATTTTTATTCTGAAAAATCAAAGTCATAAAGTACTGTAATCACTGACTATGGTGCTTGGTAAATGCTATTTGAATGTTTGTTGAATACTTCAATGATTACCTAACTTTAGTTCATATCGCTGTAAACCAAATCAATTCCACCTATTTGGGGACGAAATTCAGAAGGATGGGGGCAATGTAATGCCGTTCACCCCTCTTTTTGAATATGCTCTGTTATTAAGTACAAATAATAATACGAAGATGTCTGTGAGATGATATGCTATGCAAATGAGTCTATTTAATATGCTGATTGTACTAATATTGATCATCAAGATTTCATTCTATTGTGTTTCAAATGATGTTATGATTGGAATTTACTCGCGGTGACAAAGTTTGATCCCGGAGTGCCGGTACCTTTATTTCTGTTGTTTTATTTGAGATATTAACCTGTTTCACTTGTTCCTAAGTTATCCTGTATGTGTAATAACTTTCACGATGAATAAATATGTTGGTTCTTATTGATATTAAGCTGGAAAACATCTTTATTTACATAAAACTTCCAATGTTTACATTTTGATTCGTCATTTCGGGAATTTCCCTAAACAGAGAGATGGCTGCTGATTGGCCCAACACATGTAAAAGCGTCCGTGATTGGCTGACAGTCAAATAAAACTGAAATGATCAACTACGGAGAGGAGTGATTGTTTGTGGTTTGAAAATGAAAGTTATGAAGCGCCAAACTTGAAATAATCGGCGACTTTCTAATTGCAAACTGTTGGGTGATTTTTTTTTCTATGTGTAAATAGTCGGTGACTTCGCTAGGTGCAAATGGTTGGGTGACTTTGCTAGGTGCAAATGGTCGGTGAATTTTCTAGGTGTAAATAGTCTAAATATACTAATATACATATGAACTTTAAATACAAAATCGAGAAAAAGGAATAAAATTTTTTTTTTTTTTTTGTATAAGTGAGTTGAATTCAATTTGTCACTGTATCGGTTATAATAGGGTTAAAGGATAAAATCGTGCATTCTTGATACCAATACATCGAATGTTTATTCTTGACAAATCATGACAATCCGTCAACCAAAAAAGATTTAGTTGTGAGCAGGAAAAGAAGAATGGATAATTAGATAATAATAAGATAATTTACAAAATTAATAAAAAAAAATAGTGTAATTTATATAAATAAGCTTATGACTATCCTAAGACCATCATAAGACACCTCTCGTGTAGTCCTAACTTTATGACCAACTTTAAGAGGTGTCCTAATTTAGGACCACTTTGTGAAACCCACTTAGTCCTAAGATATTTCGTAAGACCATCCTAAGACATGTCGTAGTCCTAAGACAGCTTCGTGAAACTGGCCCCAGGATTAAAATGTTGTACGCTAGACGCGCGTTTCTGCTACAAAAGACTCATCAGAGACGCTCGAATCAAAAAAGTTAAAAGGGTAAAATAAAAACCATTATAACGATATAAACAATAAATGGTATGGCAAAATTTAAACATTTGATTTTCTTTTTCTGAAGAATCAAAATGTCCTAAACCACTACCAACAGAGTGTGAAGAAATAACTGTTAGAAGAGGAAATGGGATTTACACAATATTTTCTAACTGGTCCAGTGTCAGTGGTTTTGAAGTTTATTGTGATTTTGAAACGGACAACGGAAATTGGACGGTAAATGATACTCCATCAGTCTTTTTTATTATATTTTTTTCATTTTGTCTATCTATTTACTGTTGTTAATAACGTTAATATATACTCTATACATTGTAAGTTGTACAGTAGTATTAATTGCTTTCATGGATGAGTATCTATCTGAATACTTTGTCATGAACTGCGTTAACAATTGGATACATTCTGTCTATCTGAATGCTATATCATGGACAGAAATAATTATAAGAAAAACTCTGTCTATATGAATGCTTTTTCATGGCCAGAAATAATTATACGAAAAATTCTGTCCATATGAATGCTTTTTCATGGCCAGAAATAATTATACGAAAAATTCTGTCTATATGAATGCTTTTTCATGGCCAGAAATAATTATACGCAAAATTCTGTCTATATGAATGCTTTATCATGGATGAAAATAATTATACGAAAAATTCTGTCTATATGAATGCTTTTTCATGGCCAGAAATAATTATACGAAAAATTCTGTCTATATGAATGCTTTATCATGGATAAAAATAATTATACGATACATTCTGTCTATCTGAATGCTTTATCATGGCCAGAAATAATTATACGAAAAATTCTGTCTATCTGAATGCTTTATCATGGACAGAAATAATTATACGAAAAATTATGTCTATCTGAATGCTTTATAATGGACAGAAATAATTATACGAAAAATTCTGTCTATCTGAATGCTTTATCATGGACAGAAATAATTATACGAAAAATTATGTCTATCTGAATGCTTTATCATGGACAGTAATAATTATACGAAAAATTCTGTCTATCTGAATGCTCTATCATGGACAGAAATAATTATACGGAAAAAAGTCTATCTGACTGATTTATCATGGGCAGAAATAATTATACGAAAAATTCTGTCTAATTAAATGGCTCACCTCCACTGATTTTTTTTCATGGTTTTCTTATGTTAAAAAAAAAAATATGGAATATACACGTCTTGTAACATTAGGCAAAGGTTACTTTGGTGGATTTTGTCATCTGTTTAAGCTCTTTTTGTTTATATAGATATTATTTGTTATATATTACTGTTTATATATGTATGTGTGTATTGGAATTTGATGTATATTTTGTCATACGCCTATAAGCTGTATTGCTTTCTGAAATTAAGTATTATTATAAAGAATTATTTTAATTTGTGTTATCAGAGTACAAAAAAAAAACGTGTACACAAAATATAATGTACTGATCTAAAGAGCTTCGAACGCACCAAATGTATACATTGTCATTTTCTTTACTTGGTGGGTCGATAATGTGCGGTTGGACTGTTAGTTGCCGATGATATCGTTAGCACTTTAGTCAGAGCTTATTCAGTGACATGATTTTAATACATACATTCCTAAAATTTTCCCGTTGATGAATTTAGAAATTAAAAAGAAACTTATGCACTTAATCGTTAGGCAAACCAGACTTAAGTTGATTTTTTTTTCTATTTAAGTCCCTTTTTTGTCTTGTGAGAATTTATTATAAAACATCCTTGGCTTTCAAAGTTTAGTTTTGAGCGTCTAGGATGAAGGTAACTTTTGAAAAGCGCTTTGGACACACAAAATTCATAAAGGACTAGTGTGTTACTCTACCAGGATAACTGAAAAATCAAAACAACTGAAGAAATTGTACAATATTGAGCAATTTACATTTCATAAATGAGTGTATACCTTAATGCTATATATATTAGGGATGTCAACTCGGTGACGATTTACTAATCGAGTACTCGTTGGATTTACCGAGCGATACTCGAGTACTCGCTCGGAAAAACATCTACAAAATGGAAACACAAAATTATACCCATTTTACGTATTGTGGGACGTTGTCTTATGGACGTAAACCCTCAACATTATTACCCAGGGGCCTGTTTATCGAAACTGTCCTAAGATCGGTCCTAAGAATTTATTAGGACAGAAATTAGGATAAAGTTAGGACCGACTTACGACATGTCTCAGCATGCACATCGAAGCTATCTTAGGATTATCTTAGCTTGGATGTCCTAACCGCTGTCCTAAGTATTGGCGTAAAAGAAAATAACAAATTAAAAATGAAAAAATTAAAATATTGTATCAAATCTAACCAATAACTATAATTTTAAAAAAAGATAAATAATTAGAAAAAAATTATTAGTTTTAAATTAAAGGTGATAAATACTTTTTATATTAAAATTGTACATTTAAACTCATAAAACAAAACATAAGAGAAAAAATATAACTGCTTTGTATATAAGAATTGAAACAAACGAATTGTAAATAGTTAAAATAAAATATATAATCGGTAAAATCATTATATGCTTTGAGTGAGCTGAATTCGAAGTGTCACGGTTTCATACTTAAAAGTTCAGAGGCAAATTTCGTGCATCTTTCATATAAATACTGAGTACTTCAACTTTTTTTATTACTGCAAATAACATGCGATGATACGTGTGAATATAAGAGACGAAATTCGAATTCTACCGATGCAAAACTACAGACTCTCCTGGACGGTGTCTTCCTCCTATTCCTACTTTTTAAAATTCACTATTCCTTCTATTCCCACATGCAAATAACAATAGATGTTTTGATAAATAATTTGTTTTTATAACAATCAAGGTTAATTATAAAATTCACCTGAGATTTACCTGTATTTTTTAAAAGAAAACATATTTCTTACACTGTTTAAGTATAATATTATTTTAAAAAAAAAATAATGATTTAATACACCTTTATTTGTAATATGTTTTTTTCTTCTTCAAAGAATTACTTAAAAATAAAGAGTAAGTCAGATAAATAGATGTAAGATTAAAAAATCATTGAATTTGTAAACTTAAAAAATTGTCATCCGAACAAATAAATTGATGAAAGATAATAAATAACAAGCTTTCCCATCTTGCAAGATTTCCATGTACAACAAATGCAAGAAGAACATCCCAGTTTTACCAAAAAACTGTTGATGAAATCAACATAGATAGATGGTATTTGGGCACGTACTACCAAAGGTGACCCATTCCTGCTAACAGACGACAACACAGTTAGGCGTATGTTAATCTTCAGTACTCAAAAAAATCTAACACACCTAGCAGCTGCAGATATCATATATGGTGATGGTACATTTTATTCCTGTCCGAGCCTATTCTTCCAACTTTACACATTTCACGCAATGATTGACGGCGCAATGTATCCACTGAAACACAGTTTACTTCCAGCCAAGAGCAAAATGATATACACAAGGTTCCTGACTTTACTCAAAGATTATGCCACCAACACCAACTACAAGTTCAGCCTACCAATATCTTCCTGGACTATGAAGTCGTCATCCGAATTGAAGCATATTCTGTATTTCCTGGCATCAACGCAAAAGGCTGTTTTTTTTCCAATACACACAATGCATCTGTAGAAAAGCACAAGAAACAGGGATTCGGGTTCCATAAAAGAACGACAACAACATTCATCAACTAGTACGCTGTGCCGCTGCCCTTCCAATTGTACCTACTGCTGAGGTCGAAGATGTGTGGTTTAATGCCCTAACCGACATAGATCAGATTGATACTAACATCAACTACACGCCCTTTAAAGACTATGTAACAACATACTGGGTCGAACAGAACAGTCACCTTTGGGACCATTACAAACACTGGGACCGAAGACTACACATCATCTAGAGGAATGGCACAGCAAGCTGAAGAAACATGTCCAGCACCAACATCCAAACATCTTTAAACTCATAAAACTACTGAAACATGCGGAAGCTTTCAACGCCCTGACCATGATCAAGTATGTAGCCGGTGGGAAGAGAGTGGGCCAAAAACAAAAGTATGTCGAAATCAACAACAGATACGAAGAGCTTAAGGTTAGACACCGCAACCAGGAAGTCACAACAGTACAGTTTGGTGATGCAGCCTCCTACCTTCTTCACGTTGAATAGATAAGATTAATAAACTTTAATAGACTTATATACAGTGAATTTCTAATGTGTGTGCTACAATGTGTGATTTGTTTTAGTGCTGTTAACTTGTATTGTTTGTTTCATATTATAATGCTTGCTTGAATCTACTGTTGAATTTGTGTTATAAAAGAAATAAAATAATTTACTTATATTTGTTTCTATTTCTTTCATATCTATCTTAATTAAAAACACTTAATTCATACCCATACAAAAATAACCTATTACCTATAAAAATAAACACTTGCCAATTAAAAGTTGATTAAACAATGTTTATACAGTATAATCCTTTGTTTGCACACGTTTTCCCCCTATTCCCACATGAAGTTTTAACTTTTCTTACTAGATTTATAAAAAGTGGGAATAGGAGGAATGAACCTCCTGAACGACGTGGACAAGAATAACGCTTTACTTTTTGGTAGATTGCCAAATGTTGCAACAAATGGTGCTGAAAAGAGGGATAGGGATTTAATATGAATTAAGGGAACTACCATTTGATTTTTGTTCCTTTATTGAGGGGGGGGGGGGGGGGAGACTAGGATGAAATTTGAAAAAAAGGCAGGACAGGAGTTTGGAGTAAAAAAAAAGGCAGGATGAGCAACTTTGCCTAAAAAAAAAGCAAGATAACAATTTATGTAAAAATAAGTCAGGATAAACTAATAAAAAAAAGGCAGGACCGAATAGAGTGAAAAATAAAAAGGAAGGACAGAGATTACAACAATAAAAAAAGAACAACATTTTTCATCCTAGGCCCCCCACCCCCGTCATAAAAATCAAATGGTAGTTCCCTAAAGTAAATGCAACCAATACAGGCCATATTTGTTTATAAAATAACCATCCTAAATATATCCTAAAGTTAGGACCATCCTAAGACCATCTTAAGACACCTAAACTGGTATCCTAAAGTTAGGACAATTCCTAGGATTTTCCTAAGTTACGACATGTTTGATAAACCCACTAGCCAGATAAATTGGTCTTAGGACACGTCCTAATCCTAAGACTGCTTCGATAAACAGGCCCCAGGACTAGATGATAGTCCTAGGACATTTATGCCATATACTAATTATGTAAGCTGGCAATGACATAATCAATTAATTAGTAAACATCTATAGAAAAAAAGATTACCCAAACAATAGTTATTGGGAATCCTAACACATTTAATGATAAGCAAAGGGTGATGATTAGAACTTACTGATGCCTTTAACCATTTTCTGAGGGTCGACACAGGGTGCAACGAAATTGTTCTTATTAAGTTATATTATCCTGTCAGCTTTTTCTGTGACGAGTCGACTCTCAACTTTGTTACGTAACTAAAAGTCCTGCTGATGAAAATATTTGCTCTGACGGTACAGAGGTAGTTTAATGACTCAGACACGCTACGCTAAAAGTGTAAGTCTTGGAAAAGGTGCTCTTGTTCACAGTCCACCTATGCTTGGAGGAATTTTAAATGACAATTAAACGCAAACATTCGAAACATAATTTTGATTAATTATGATTAATATTTAATTTCCCGGGAGGTGCTCTTAATAAAAATATTATTTCTTCAAGAAGGCAACAACATTCTTACAGGAAACTGATTAGTCGAATATCATTTTGGTATTCGATACTCGGTACTACCGAGCGATACTCGAGTACTCGAGTACTTTTTGACATCCCTAATATATATGAATCATGAATTTATAACAATTTTGAAAAAAATTACCTATTGGTATTTGATTTTATCGTTTATATTTGTCAGGTATTTCAGAGAAGAATAAACGGTACGACAGACTTTTTCAGAAGATGGGAGGAATATGAAAATGGATTTGGGAATTTGGAGGCGGAATTTTGGCTAGGTAAATTTTTATGATATATATTATTTAAGAGAAGCAATTATTAATGTAATTGATTGATTGATTGAATAGTGTTTAACTCCACATTAAGCACTATTGTGCTATTTCATGCGCGGTGGTCAGTTTTTATTGGGGGAGGAAGACGGAGGGCCCGGAGACAACCACCGACCTTCTGTAGGAAAACTAACAATCCTAGTCAATTAAGATTGGAGTCGAGCGCACCTGCCGCGTGCGGGTTTGGAACTCACAACCTCAGTATTGACAGGCTTGTGACACAGTAGTTCCGACTACTTAGACCACTCGGCTACAGAGGCCCCTGATTATTAATGTGTAACTACAGACAAACAACACGAACAACACATGTCCAGATAGTCTGACTTTGTACGGGTACAAAATACGGAGGGGTTAAACCAGTATATAGACACCTCTTTAAGGTTCATTTAAAGAAATTTAAAAATATGGCCGCGTTTACACCACAAAATCTACTATGAGTACAGACAAAATGGTGCATCTAGGAATGTTTTAAGGCATGGCAGGACCTAGATATATTTAATTTATATGTAGTTTATGTTGCAGAAAATTAAAAACTTACCTGGATTTTGATGTGCATTTTTTCCAGTCTGCAGAAGATAGCACAATAAACTAACACATGAAATTCTTTTGATACGGTCCACTCAGTTACACAGTTTAAATCACCTATTGTTTGCAGATGTCTACTGTCCATCCATTGTCCATTTAAATCAATACTACTCACATTTATTATATGAGGGGAGCTTCTAAAACCCCTTTCCAAACTTAGTTTATTTTGGCACCTTCTGCAGGAATGAGAAAAAAAAAATGAATAGCAAAATCCAGTTAAGTTTTAATATTCTGAAACTTAAAACGCATTTAAATTTGATATATCTAGGTCCAGCCATGCTCCAAAACTCTCTAAGTGCACAGGTTTGTCTCTACTCAGAATGAAATCTGTAGTGTAAACATGGTAAATACGGCCATATTTGCTATAAGGTTATGATGAACCCTAAGACCGTATATTCTATGTTTGCCTCTGGATGTCGTCGGATTTTTGTGCCGTTGGATTGCTGTTCTCTAATTGATACCTCCCAGCCCTTATATTGATGTTTATGAACGGTTTTTAAATTATTTGACAAATAAAAACTCGTAAATAGTTCCGCGGAACCCAGTGCCTCTACTATGATTCTTGCTGTCAGTGTAAACGTGTAATGTTGACTAACAAAAGCTAAGTCCATATATTAGGGGGGTGAAAACAATACTTCAGATGATATTTCTTTATCATAAACATGCTTCTGTCCAAGTTTCGTAATAATCCATGGAGGATTGATAAAGTTATTATTGAAGTCTAAAATATGACTGTATGTGAATGTTTACAGCAAAAATACTTACAATACCCACTAAACTAAAAAATAATAAAAAAAACAATGTGTCCTAGATACTCTCCTTTGATAACGATAAAGCTTCTGTCCAGTCAATGATGTCTATATTAAAATTTAACCGCTGACAGAACCTAAATGTTGAAGACGTCGAAGACATAATGTAAGGTAGCTTTGTCTCGCCTTCGTGACATTCGTCTCAGACGAGACAAAAAACATCATACATAATTTAAGATTTTTAAAACCATTTTCAGGTAATCAGAAAATTAATGAATTAACGTCGAAAGGACTACATGAATTAAGGGTAGATCTTACCGATTTTGAAGGAAACACAGGATATGCAAAATATTCGAAATTCTCTGTTGGTAATGTTTCTACCAAATACAAACTTGAAGTTGGTGGATATAGTGGGGATCTCGGTAAGTAAACGTTAGAGTCATACAATGCTATATGTGCATAATCTGCTATTTTGTGGTTCTCGGGAAAGAAATATTAGAAGCATAGCACTCTGTCAATCAATTTATATAGATATAAGAAGATGTGGTATGAGTGCCAATGAGACAACTCTCCATACAAGTCACAATTTGTAAAAGTAAACCATTATAGGTCAAAGTACGGCCTCCAGCATGGATCCTTGGGTCACACCTAACAGCAAGCTATAAAGGGCCCCAAAAATGACTAGTTTTCATGCTGCTGCGATTGTGTAGATAATTGGTAAAGTTGAAACTAGCTTGCGTCCAAAGCGTTGTTTCTGGATTTACCTTCATCAGGAATACTCAAAGCCGAATATTTGAAAGCCAAAGGATGTATAAGAACCGAAAAGGACCTAAAAATAGCAAAATACAACTAAGGTCATAAAAGTAGTGTGAAACGATATTATTAAATATATATTTGAATTCTTTTGAACAGGAGATAAATTGCAGTATAATAATAGAATGCGATTTACTACAAAGGACAGGGATAACGATGCTGATCCAGGTAACTGTGCAAATCAAAGAAATGGAGCCTGGTGGTACAAGTATTGTACCTATGTCAATCTTAACGGACGGTATGTTCAAGGTGGACAGATTGACATGAAAGGTATTACATGGAAGGCTTTAAAGTGGAAGTCATACTATTCAATGAAATCATCTGTAATGATGTTGAGAAAAGTGCATTTACCTGGATAAAGATCAAAATTCTTTATTTTGACAATTTTTGTATTTCAATTCTTTGATAATGTTTAATTCGTTCATTTCATGCGTTTACCTTGCTCAATTTAGTTTTGTTTATATAAATACAATGTAGCATTGCGAGTTATTTTTATTTGCTTTTTTTTAATATGCATGGAATAATTTACACTGGTCTTTAAGTAAACAAGAATGAATCAATCTTGAATGGACTTTTTTCTCAAATATCAATGCATTTAAAGTAATCTCCTTTAGACAGTCATATATAAACTGATCACGATAAATGAAATATTACTAAACTAATTGTATATACATTTGGAAATGTTACTAAATTAACTCTTTATACGTTTGCAAGTGCATTTTAACTTGTAACTACAGATAAGTTTATACATGTATAGTCGGCTTCCGGTGATTTTTAAACTTTCTTTAAGTAATGGATGTTCACTTATTTTATTTTTACAAATTACCTTTCTTAAAAACATAATATTTGCTTAGAACATAATTTTCTAAAGTGTAATTATTTTTGATAGGTCTGAATAACAGTACTTTACTTACTCGGTCAAGATGTTTTATATTTTTTTCTAAATAGCAGTTTTTGTAATTTTCAACAGAATTACTTGGTTCCCTTTTTAATACAGTCAATAACACTTAGGGTAGGAGGCATTAGAGTTTAATGCGTACCGAATATTTTGTATGTGTATGCCGACTGTATACATACTATTTATTGTAATGTCTAATTGATTATTGTATCTGTTGTTATATTTATCATACATGTATATGCTACATGTATATGTTCTTAAGTGTGCGTAAATTTTGCTAAATAAAATTGTTCGCTTTTTTTGACTTATCACTAACTTTTTTGCACGTGAGGAACATTACGTCGGGTGCACTTCTTAACAAAACATGATTTCGCCAGAACCTGTCTTTGTCCCTTGTTTTTGGAGAGTTCGCTCAGATAATTTTTGCAATTTTCTGTAAAATGGTGTTTTCACCATGCTTTGACGATGGATACGGCTATGCTGGTCTACCTCTTGCGTCATTTAATCATTAATGATTTCCGTTTTAATATTTGAACCAACTACATGTTAAAACTACATGTTCATGATGTTATATGTTTATTTCTTTTCCTTTATATTTTGATTTTGATTTTTCTATTTTTATTTAAGACTTGTTATAGAACCAGTTTGATCAGTAGTTCAATTTAAGTTGTTGGGTTAGTACTCTGGAACTGTTTAATTGGACGGATATTTTTTGGTGGTATTACAGGTGAGATTCGGTAGTCTTACATAAGACCGATAGAAATGTACCTGTATTGTATTTATCAATTTGAAAGTGTTTACAGTTACCGCGTGTTCTGCTTAATTGTATGTATAGAATTCATATTTAGTATACAGCTCAACTGGTATAAGTATTGGTATAATAGGTGAGCAATAGCTCAGAGTACATCGTGTTTTCCTTTTGTTATGGTGGTATCTGTTGACCCTTTTTAAATGCCCGTATAATATCTTCTAAAACAAATAAGAAGATGTGGAATGATTGCCTATGAGATAACTATCCACCAGAGACCAAATGACGTAGATGTACGAAGCTTAAGGTACTTGCACGGCCATCAATAATGAGCAAAACATATACCGCATAGCAAGCTACAAAAGGACTCGACATGACAAAGAGTATAACAATTCAAACGAGAAAACTAATATGACAGACAGCAACCAATAATACCCACTGAAATACAGGCTCCGGACTTGAAACTGGTACATACAAGCTATCTTGATTAAACATGTAAGCGGGCGCCCAGCCCTCCCCCTTACCTGTAACAGTGGTGTAACAACACAACATAACACAAACTGAGTGTATAAATCACTTAAAAAGGGCTTGGCATATAAGATTGATATACACCACAAAAGAAACTAACAAAAACAATTCTGTATCGAAGACAAACTATCAATCAGTACACATCCGATGGACTTAGTGTAAAGACGTCATGCGCATTCGGGGAAAAACAGACCTTCTCATTCGTTTTTAAAAATATCATGTGTAATAAAAAGTGAAGCGAAATTACAACGCAAAAATGAACAAATGATGCATGATTCAAGAAATGGGTCATATTGGGTGAAATATTATATATGACAGAATTATTCAAGCATTGTAGATTTTCAAATATTAATGACATCGGCATTACATGCATGTTATGACATAAATTTAGATTATTTAATGGACAAGCTTAATTAAATTATTATAACGTCTGTATAACATACAATGAAATACACTAATTTTTTTTATGAAACAGAAGTTTTAAAATTTAAAAAAATAATCAAAATAGGCGTTTTGATCAACAAAAGCATTTAGTTGGTCAAGACGAAAATAAAGCAATACACATTTCGTCTGTGTGCATTCACAAATCTTTTCTAAACTTCCAATAGTCGGGAAGCCCAGTATACAAAAATAAATGAGGAAGAAAAACGCGACCATGAAGACTAAATGTAGTAACCTAAACAATTAAATGCCAAGTTTGACTTTATTGATTGATTTTTGCCAGCTTAACGTCCAGTGGCAATAATTTCATGAATAATCAGGACAATAATACGTTAGGTAGGTTTGCAAGGTGGGCCGACTAATTTAATTGCGGGAAATTTAGGCTGCCACTGGAAATGAGGGTATGTTGGTATATCGAACTTGAAATAAAGGATACCATAGATACATGTATAGTTAAGTCTGCCTCATAATCATATATTTACTAACATTTTAAAAATTGACCAAGAGGGTAAGTTGAGAACAAAACTGTACGACAAAAACGGGGATTGTCTTCATGTCTGTATTCTCAATTTGTTTAGGTAAATTTTTCCTTTTCTTTGGTAAACCTTTCCTCGCTTAAATCCGGATGATCAATCAATTAAAAGTGTAAAACATTTGCATTTATTGCTGTTCTAAATAAGGAATATTTCTACATGGTCTTCAGCTATATTAATTGATAACCTAAACTTTACAGCAGAAGACGTATGTTCCAAAAAACATCGATTTGAGAGTATTTAAAACATTTTAAAATGACCTTTCTTTTAATGCATATTTATTATTTATTTTATCACCCCCTTTCTAGTGGCCACCGATCTAGTTTTAAACTTTCTATGGATCTCGCTGACCATAACTAACACAAGCTTTTGCAATGGGTCAATGACTGCAACTTTTGCATACTCCTATTGTGGAATCCTCAGTGAAAACAGACTCTTGGGATATCTGCATATCAAAATAATCAGGTTTTCCACCGATACTTTTCTTGAATTACAAAACTGGAGTTGACCATTCCAATAAGTTGAAAATTCAACTTGAACCTGACTTATTTCTTGTCAATAATGTCCGAAAATACTTAACATTCAATTATTATGATATTGATAAAATATAACTTTGCAGTTTATTCAAGTCAGTTTTAAACACGGTAAATGATCAATCGGAGACGTGAGTTATCCTGGAATTAAACAACAAGCCAACAACACCACATTTTTTAAAAAAGAAATCTAGAGTTAGGCCTCATACCATGCTTACGTGCCTATTTTTTATGTCAAGCTTTTAAATTAAATCGTCTCGAGTAAGTAATCAATTTAATAGAGACAATCAAAGATGATATTGATTAATCGAATAAGAAATACCCTAAAAGATATAACTAAAAACAACTTTTTATGAGGGTCTGGATGAGATTTACAGAATAGAGAATCATGGGTAAAAAGTGCAAAATAAAAGGACAAAAAGTATGAAGAAAAGAGAAAAATAGGCCAAAATAAAAAGAATAGATAATAAGGGGGTGCTAAAATATAAAGAATAGAGAATAATGAGCAAGAAATCTAAAGAATACGGAAATAAAGGACCCCCAATCAGATCATCTTTTCTGAGGTTCCTCACCTTAAAGGATTGTTCGTGTTTTGAAAGCCTAAGTATTTTACCTAGCTATGTTGTCTTATGATTTAATGCAATAAAACAAATGTTAACATTCATTCTAAAACAAGTATCCATAAAGGCATGGCAAATGGAGAATTATGATATTGTTTGTAATGTGATGTATTGTAAAATAAAATCGGAAGAGCTTACAAACGGGCCGAAGGTCGGAAAACATAATATTTTATATAGGTACCTGTATAATAACATCTGTCTTGTTACATATACCTTGTGTGGTGAGAAGTCGAATCAGCACATGTATATTTTGTATGACATTGCAACCACATTTTACGTCTATACTGAACAAGATATGGCTTTCACAGAAACTAGGCCAATTCTAAAAATACCTTTGAAATTTATTATTTTATCAAATATCAACATAATTTTATTGTTGCTGCTCATATTAAATTAGTTTCCATACCTAATTATTAACGGACAGATATATCAAATGCAATTAAGCGCTTGTATTGTGTTGAAGACCTGGTTTACTATCTGTGTCTTGGGTTGCTATCTAATTAACGTGTATATTCAATAATATTTAATTAAAGGAAATGAGATGTAAACATCACAACACAGAAATAAGCGTGAAAGGAAATGGTTTGGTATACGTCACGTGATAGAACAAAGGGTGAATAAACATGATATGAGGGATATACGTCACATGACACATATACAGTGAGTTAAAGGAGATGGAAGGTATTATACGTCACACAATGAAAATAAGGATGAATCAAAAGAAATGAAAGTAAGAAGTCACATGATACAAATAAGGGTAAATCAAGGAAATAAGGGGTATATGTCACATGATAGATATATGGGTAAAATAAGGAAATAAGTGGTATACGACAAATGATACAAATAAGGGTAAATCAAGGAAATAAGAAGAATTTCACCCCATACCCGGGATTTTTTAAATACCCGACGGGTCGTTGAATAACCCGGGAATTCGGAAATGACCCGTTTTCACCCGGATTCTTGAGCCTTCAGTATGAGTGGTATACATTAGATGAAACAAATACAGTGAATTAAAGGAGATGGAAGGTATTATACATCACACAATAAAGATAAGGATGAATCAGAAGAAATAAAAGTAATAAGTCACATGATACAAAAAAAAAGAAAAACTAATTAAGTAAATAAGTGGTATACGTCACATGATACAAATAAGCGTGAATTAAAGGAGATGACGGTATT